CCTGGTATAACCGCTCAAACAACCACCACTCCTTGTGGGCGCCGAATTTATTTCGTTCATCATCCAAAAACGACCAACCCACCTTGGTCTCTGACGGCTGGTCCACAGTGTTGTCCCAATTGATGCTGGGAACGCCCCCCTTGTCCGTGACTACCATCAACTTCCCAAACAACTTGTCTCGCGCCTCCCTGATCAATCCGTGCACCATGCTCCGCAACTGCGACATCTGGACACGCGTGCCGGGATACAACACCTCATCCCAGATCCACTGGATCTTCCCGGCTGCTGGCGTGGTGTATCGAATCTTGAATCCGTACGAACGGGTCTGGTATATCCACTGCATGGGCGTGGGATCGCGGCCGCCGTGGGCCATGGTCATGAACTGGCTGACGAATTGCTTGACCAACCGGTAATAACTCGTGGCCTCCTTTCGCGCCTCAACCTCCGTCATCTCGCTCTGATACGTACGAATCTGCTCTTGCCTCTGCTCGTACGCCTCCTGAACCACCATCAACCGTGCCAACTTGATCACCGCCGAATATTTGGTGGTGAAATCCTCCGCATCGTGCCATCCTTTGTCCCCCTTTATCATCAATACGGCCAAACCGCTGATGATGGGGCTCTGGTACTCATTGTCTTGTAACGGGTGGTCTAACAACGTGATGCAAAACCGCAATACCTCCTGCTGGATCTGCTGCATCCATTTGGTCTCTTTGGACATCTCATCCTCGAAACCCTCATCGACTTCTTCGGCCGCTTCTTCGGCCGCCCCTTTGACGCCCTCCACCCCCTCGTCATCCTCCCCATCATCAAACCCTTCGTCTTCATCACGGTCTTCACCCGCTGCGTTCTTCCCCTGCTCCTCCTTCCACTCCTGAAACGCCCCGATCTCATCTCTCACGGTTTGCATGGCCGACTGCTGCGCCTTGGTCAACACGTACGGGGGTCGGAACTCGGCCTTGTCATCCTTGGCTCGGAACACAAACAATAACAACTGCTTCCACACCTCGACATACCGCTCAATTGTTGTGATATCCATCCAACTATCAAACGGCATGTTCGTCTCTTTCTCCGCCTCCTTCTTATTGGCCTCAAACAACGTATGTATCCCAACCACATCCCGTACGGCATGGTGCTGTGCGTCTTGAATCAACCACTCAAATGCCGTGCACATTATGGCCAAATGGGGCTCGTCTTTTTCGTCGACCGGTTCAACATACTCTCGCACCTCCTTACGGTCGATGCTGGCCAAATGGGGGATGCACCCAACCCGCCTCAACCACGGACTCGGCTCTTTGGCTTCATCTGTCTCCTTGATCTTGCGGTTCTCCTCTGCCTCAGCCTTCTCAAACGCCCGCTGCATCTCCTGCTTGGCCGCCTTGAACTGGTCTGTCCGGGACGCCATTCGTGGGGTCGGACGTGGCCCTGTCTCAACGGGTTGGACCTTGAAATACCGTGATTTGGGTCCCTGCTTGAAAAACCGTTGGCAATGGGCTCCTGTCCGCCACGGGACCTTTGCGGCTGGATCTGGCTTCTGCATCCGGGGCCGGCCTCCTTTTTCCTTGCTCTTCCATCGATGCTCATCCCAACTATGCTTTCGCATCCATTGCTCAGTACGGCACACGTACGGGCACTGCTGGCCATTGATGGATTCTGTACACCATAATCCATCCGTCGCTGGGAATCGTAACGCTGCAATGGCCTGGGTTATGGCGGTGGGGAATGGGAACTCATACTTCAATAACTCTTCTTCATTTTGTATTAATCCATTTACCTTGGCTACCTCTTGTATAATCCTTTCCCTCGCCTTCTTGTTTAATTGGTGGTTTTTGGCTGCAAAATGGGTATCAATTTTGCTGGGTAATATGGCGTACTGACACTTCTTGCAAACTATCACTTAGAAACTGGGCAAATGAATAAACTGATCCATTATGTGCGTGCTCTTTCCACGTCTACTCTCCACGTCCACTTTCTCTGTCTATTATACCCCCTTTGCCTTCTTACCTTTTGCCTACTGTCTTACCTTCATTTCGGAATCTTCCCCTGATTTTGCGCCTCTCCTAGGAATTGACGCCACCATCAACGCCCTGCTTATCTAATCGTAACCCTAACCCTAACGTCTTCATAACCCTATTGTCACCAACAACATGGAATTTGGTTATTCTAATCCTGGGAATGGAATTGGGGGGGTCTTATTACCTTACATCTCAAATTGCAAAGTGTTGTGGTCTCTCTACAATGAATTCCAAAAACCCGGAGCCATCTTGAAATTTAACTTGGAGCCATCCCCTGGAAACGAAGATCAACAAAAACGACTAGGGTTATTATTGGTCCACAACCCAGAGGCATACATGCCTCCGACCAACAATTATGGATAGGTCTGTTGACTAGACAAACTGCTGTTTCAAATCTGGATTCTGCATGATTCACCTCCACAACCACCACAGCCCGTTAATATTAGATTGATTCTGAACATCATCTAAAAACGACCACCCAACCTAGCTCTCTGCCATATTATCTTGTAAATTGGCCCATTTAATCTACAGAACCTAACCCTCATTAATATCGCCAAACGCGTCCAACGGAATCATTATCAAATCCCACATTAAAATCATACGGGCCTTAGCCACAACCCTATGAATGGTCGTCTACAACTAGCCCATGTTGAACTCTAACCTGTACCCAAATATCTTATCCCTAATCCACAAAATCTCTCCGTCTGCAGTTGTACTTGCTTGGATCGCCATCCTGTATGTTCTCTTGCTGATGATCTAATCCATTAGGCTCAGATCTCTCGTCCCACCCTCCAACCCCATGAACCAGTCTACCATTTGCCAGATCAACTGATACAGTGACTCAGTGGTTTCAATTGCCTCCTCTTCCTCCATTTCAACCAATTTGCACGTAGTAATCTTTTGCGTCCACGTCTGATAACCCTCTTCTACTACTAATGCCCAGGCAATCTTGATTATGGCAGAATATATTGTTGTGTAATGGATGGCTGCAACTCATGTCCCTCCTAGCCTAATGCCTAAAATGGACAAACTGCTAATGATTGCGCTGTCGTATGGGTTGCCCACTAACCAGTGGTCCAACAACTCAATGCAAAACTGCAAACATGTGCAGTCCAACTCCTCCATCTGCTCTCGTTCCTCCCTGCCCATCTCCTCCTTTGCCTCCACTCCCTCGAAATCCTCTGCCTTCTGCATCAACTTTAAAAATGCCATCCTCTGACCTCACATGAATTGGTACAGTGGCCTCTCCTCCTTCTCCTAATCCAACTCAGCATGCACAACGAAACTCAATATCTGTTTCCAATACGCCTGGTAACTCAAATGGGTGCGGTCCTTCAAATCCATATAAAATGGGTTTTCGCCTTTCTTTCTGTGCTCTGTGGCATTGATGTGGAATAACGCAGCCTCTCCTACCACTTCCTCAATGACATGCTTCTAGCACTCGTTCATAACCCTGTTGAAACTCTAATGGATTATAACCAATTCTTCCTCCTCCTCTGGATCAACAGGTTCAATCAACGTCTTCAACTTATCCCAGTCTCTCCCCTGTAAATGCTCGTCCCATTTAACCCACCTCAAAAACAGATTGGGCTCCTAGGCTTTGTCTGACACCTTGATCTTCTTCTTTACTACTCTTTTCACCTCATCAATTCAACACTGGATCTCCTTCTCCATCTTCACCTCAGGGCCTTTAGGGCTGGATGCAGGCTCTGTCTTCCCCTTCACCCTAAATAAATTTGAATGCAAACTGTGGGTGAAAAACCTCTGGCAATGAACCCCCTTCTCCTACAGAACTTCCTTCTCAGAACCTCTTTTAGGCCAGCCTTTCTTCTGTGGATTTACCTAACTGTGAACATCCTGATAATGTTCCTGTATGGGTTGCTCAAACCGGCTAACAAACGGGCACTTCTTCCTGTCTTTCTCAAATGTGCAACCCAACCCATTAGTCTTTGGTTCCTCTAACCTAGGGATTGCTTCTGTATTTTGCTGTGGATATTTGAATTCAACCTGACCTAACATATACTTGTTCTGTATCAAATCCTCTATCTTTGCCACCTTTTCGAAAATGCCCTTCTGGCTCTCCTTGCTTAATCCGTGCACTGGCTCTCTTGTGAAATGGGCGTTGATCTTGCTGGGCAATACTGCAAACTGGCACTTCTTGCATATGATCAATTGGAATTCTGGCAAATGAATGAACTAATCCATTTTGAATGCTTATTCCTACACTACATACAGCCTATGGGCTCTACTTTAATTCCTACAAAACCCTTATGTTTCCCCTATTTCACCTTTAATTGATGTCTCACCCTGACGCCCCTGTGTAACGCCACTTTCTCTGTCCTGCCTAGTAACCCTGACCCCAACTTGGGGTTAACTGTTCCCTAAATAACTCAACAACTGACGTTGATCTTGTAATTCTGCAACTGGCAATGGCATCAGACAGGTTGACTTACCTATAATCCAACTTGACAGGTTCTGCAGGCTTCAATTGGGCAACTTACATTTAAATAAAATCAACCCCCTGGTTTAAATGAAATTGACCCCCAGTCTTTTGACCGCCTGATTCTGCCACCCACCCATTTTAATGAAATCAACCACAATTTTATTTACCTGTAATAGTAGGCCTTATGGTGTAATGGTAGCATCCCTAGTTCTGAATTAGAAGGTTGTGGGTTCAACCCCCACTAGGGCTAGTTTAATGATACTCAACTCTTGCCTAAGAGATGAGTATCATTATTTTGTTTTTGTGAAATTAAAAGACTATATAACAAGGGCGTTCTAATGAGCCACTTTATAGGGAAATTAAACTTAGGGCTATAGAGATCTCTACTAGTCTACTCTACTTTAGAGGATGGGTATGCAGCTCCTGCTCTCCTGCTCTTAGAAAGCAGAGAGCACAGTTCCTTATAGTAGGTGCGCACTTTCGTTAGTGCCTACTCTCTACTCTCCTACTCTCAGCTCTTCTGCTCCCCCTCTAAATCTAGAGGCCTTATAGTGTAATGGTAGCATCCCTAGTTCTAAACTAGGAGGTTATGGGTTTAACCCCCATTAAGGCCTCTAGGCTGAGATGTGTAGACAATTCTAAGACGTATCTACACATCTTGGCTCAATGCGTGTTGGCGCTAGCATCCCAAC